GCGAGGAAGAGGAGGAGGAAAAGGAGGAAGAGGAGTAGGGGGAAGAGGAGAGGAGGAGGAGGAAGAGGAAGGGATAGAGGAGGAAGAGGAAGAAAGGAAGAAGAGGAGAGGAGGAGAAAGAGGAAGGAAGGGAAGGAGAAGAGAGGAGGAGGAAGAGGAAAGGATAGAGGAGGAAGAGGAGGAAGGAAGGGAGGAAGAAAGAGGAGAGGAGGAGGAAGAGGGAGGAAGGGAGGGAGGAAAGAGGAAGAGGAAGGAAGGGGGTGGAGAAGGGAGGAGGAGGAAGGGCAAGGAAGGGAGGAAGAGGAGAATAGAAAATGAAGAAGAGGAGAGAGAAGACAGAGACGAAGAAGATGAGAAAGAAGAGAGTAATGATGATAATACTGAAAAAGAGCGGAAGAAAAAAGAAACAGAGACGAAGAAGATGGGGAAGAGGAAGAAAATAATAATGAAGAGGAAGAGTAGAAGAACAGCAGAAGACAGAGACGAAGAAAGAAGATATAAAAAAGATGAAATAAAGAAGAAAGATGAAAAAAGAAGAAAAAAAAAGTGAGCACAAAGAAGAAAATTCAACAATAGGAAATAGGAATAGGAAAACCAACGTTAATCCTCTCTAAGCGGCTTCTCTCCTCTCCCTTTCTACGCCTTCACATCTTCCCCATCTCCCCTTTCGTTCCTCTCTTTACCCTCCTCTCCCTCCCCTTTCGCTCTCTCTCTTTCACTTTCTCTTTCTCTTTCCCTTTCTCTCTCTCTCTCTCTCTCTCTCTCTCTCTCTCTCTCTCTCTCTCTCTCTCTCTCTCTCTCTCTCTCTCTCTCTCTCTCTCTCTCTCTATCTCTATCTATCTCTATCTCTCTCTCGCTCGCTCTCTCTCTCCTTCGTTTCGTCTCTTTTCCCTTCTTCGACAATTTCTCTTCTCCTCTCTTTCCTCTTCGTCCTTCTCTCCTTTTCCTCATTTCCCCTTTCGTTCCTCTCCCTCCTTTATTCTCCGTACTTTCGTTTTTCTTCCACCTTTATTCTTCTCCCTCTCCCCACCTCTTCTTTACCTCTCTTCTCTCCCCTTCTCTCTCCTCCCCCCCCCCACCCTTCCTCCTACCGCTACCCTGGTCTTCTATTTTATTTGCCATTTCTCGTTTCTCTCTTTCTGTTTTACCTTTTCTTCTACTATTTCTTTCTTATTCTTATTCCTCCCTCCCTCCTCTTCCTCATTCTCCTGTCCTTACGTCTTTCGCCTCTCCTTTGTCTTTCCTCCTTCCTCCTTTCTTCTTCCCTTTTCCTCCTTCAACTTCATTGCTCATTTTTTCCCTTCCTTCTTCCTCTTTCTCCTTCTTTCCTCCGTTTCTTTCCGTCATCCTCTCCCTTCTTCCATTCCCCTTCCTCCCTCCTTCCCCCTCCCCTTCCTCCTCCCCCTCCCCCTCACCTTCCTTCCCCCTCCCTTCCCCCTCCCTTCCCTCCTTCCACCCTCACCATCCTCCCTTCTTCACCCCCCCCCCTTCCATCCTCTTCTTCCCCCAGGCGAAAAGATGAAGCAGACACAAACCCGAAGCTTTTTCAGCTCAGCGAGCTTCGCCGTCTCGGATGAGGCTTCATTTGCTTCGCAGGTTTCCTCTCGGCGATGTGACTTCTGCAGCGGTTGTTTTTCCTTATCTATATCTATCTAGATCTATATCTACATCTATCTATCTATCTATATATATACATGTGGATAGATAGATAGATTAATGGATGGATGGATGGACGTACGTGTGTGTGTGTGTGTGTGTGTGTGTGTGTGTGTGTGTGTGTGTGTGTGTGTGTGTGTGTGTGTGTGTGTGTGTGTGTGTGTGTGTGTGTGCATGAATGTGTATGTAGAGAGAGAGAGAGAGAGAGAGAGAGAGAGAGAGAGAGAGAGAGAGAGAGAGAGAGAGAGAGAGAGAGAAAGAGAGAGAGAGAGAGAGAGAATAAAAAACAAAAGAAGTCAAACAAACTAACAAACAGACCAGAAAGAAAAGAGATAAAACAAAACAAAAACAAAAAAGACAAAACAAAAAACATACACACAAACAAACAAACAATAAAAAAACAAAAAAAAACGGAAGCTCCAACCATACCTGGAACCTTAACAACGGCCCAATCATCACAAAGAGACTGATAGATAGACCGTGCGGGGGGTCACAGCCTCATTATGACAACAGTACGATAGGCCTATATCCCCCTCGCACCCGTGATAGACACAGGAGAGGAAAATAAGCGACAGGTAAGTAAAGGAGAAGAAAATGGAAAAAAAAAGAAGTGGTGTTGAAGAGAAAAGGAAAATGTATGAATTATTTCCATAAAGATGGATGGATAGATACATAAATAGATGGACAGATAGATAGATAAACGCAAACCCAGATGGAAAGAGTAAGAGAGAGAGAGAGAAGAGAGAAGAGAAAGAGAGAGAGAGAAGAGAAAGAAGATAAAGATAGAAAGAAAAAAAAGAAAGATAATGAGAAAGAGAAAGAAGATGATAAAGAGAGAGAGAGA